CCCGAAGCCCTCGAAGAGGACCTGCGCAGGGCTGCATCATGCTGGAGCCAGGGAGACGGCTGTGAGATTTCCCCCCTCCTCCTCCTCCTCCCCTCCCCTCCCCGCCACCCCTTGGACCTGCCTTGTGAGTGGCACACGGCCAGAACTTTCCAGAAGCTTCCAGGCACCCTCTCCCAAGAGTGGGTTTTTTCCTTGCCTGATCCCCGCCTGGGGGCCTCGGCTCCCCCATGCCCCGGAGTTCCCGCTGTCCACCCAGGCCCACTCCCTCCTCCCCACCCCAGCCGTCCACCTGCACCGGGCAGAGGCCCTGGCCCTCTCATCACCCTTCTCCTCTGCTTGCCTGCCCCTGTGTGGGCCCTGGGGTGGTCATGGAGGATTCTCACACCAACCATTGGCTCCTAAGTGCTCACCAGGGGCCTGCAGAGAGAGAGAGAGAGTGTGTGTGTGTGTGTGTGTGTGTGTGTGTGTGTGTGTGTGTGTGCAGATGTGCCAGTACTGGAGCCTTGAACTCAGGGCTTTGAGCTCTTGCTTTGGCTTTTTCACTCAAGGCTTGGCAGCCTTACCTGGTGACTTCCAGGTTTGGTTTTTTGTTTTTTTTTTTTGGTCCAGTTGTGGGGCCTGAACTCTGGGCCTGGGCGCTGTCCCTCAGCTCTTCAGCTCAAGGCTAGCGCTCTACCACTTGAGCCACAGCATCACTTCCGGCTTTTTGTTAATGTGGTGCTGAGGAATCGAACCCAGGGCCTCAGGCATGCAAGGCAAGCGCTCTACCACTGAGCCACCTTCCCAGCCCCTGTTTGTTTGTTTGTTTGTTTTGTCTAGTTAACTGGAGATAAGTCTCATGGAAGTTGTGCTGAGTTTCTATATGTATAGCAACATGCTTAGACTTAATACGTTTTACTTAGTTTATTTGGACACTTCAAACATAAATCCACACCAATAACTAACTCTCCATAGCCTACCCTGTCAGTGTTCAATAACACACCATATCAGTAGTCAATAACACACACATTATATCAATATGCCATAATACTCACTACAGACTTTTCTGTCTGAGCTGGCTTCGAACTGCCACCTTCCGGTCTCAGAATCTTGAGTAGCTGGAGTTACAGGTGTGAGTTACCAGTGTTGGGTTCCTGGGGCTGCTTTCCAATTTCCTTCCTGGTATGTTCAGCCAGATATCCTAAGACACTGCACGCTTAAACATTCAAAATTTAGCTTGCATTTCCTCTCAAAGTGGTTTCTCTACTGGGGTGGGGAGGATATATCAGCATCACCTAAAGTCTTAGTCCTCAAATATTCTTTAAGTCAGATATCTATAGACTCTCAGACACCCTTCTTCTGTTGTACAGGAATTCAGTGAGATATGACGATGCCACAATTTAAGAGGTTATGGGAAGCTTTATTGGAAAGCAGGCAACCCCAGGTAGACTCTTGTCACAAAGACTCACAGCCATGAACAGATGTAGCACATAGCTTTTAAAGACAAAAACCACATGTTGGCATGGAGACCAACCCTTAATAGCCTTAAGAAAAGGTTATACATAAAACAAAGCCAGCTAGATGAGGGCATGTATTCCTAATAAAAGTGTTATACATAGGTAGAGCAAAGCAATCAGGACCCCAATTATCTAGGGGAAGCATAAGCTTCCGGGAGCCCAACCATCTATTTGCAATCCAAAGAATGTCCTTTGCAACCTCTAGAGTTCTCAGAAAGTCCTCATCCTCTATCAAGATGCCAAGATGGCATTACTTCGATCCAGAATCCACATTTCACTTCTGGACTAAGGTCAAGAACCTTGGTCCCTGATTCCCCAAGAGAAGAATTCAAGCAAGACATGAACATAAGTAAAGATGATAGAAAAGTTCATTAGAATAGAAATATGGCCGGATGCTGGTAACTCACACCTGTCATCCTAGCTACTCAGGAGGCTGAGGATCTGAGGATCATGGTTCAAAGCCAGCCCGAGTGGGAAACTCCATGAGACTCTTACCTCCAATTAACCATTAAAAAAAAAAGCCAGAAGTGGAGTTATGGCTCAATGGCTCAATGGTAGAATGCTAGCCTTGAGAAAGAAAGAAAGTGCTCAGGAATAGTGCCCTGAGTTAAAGCCCCAGAACACGTGCACAGGTGCATGCCTGCACATGCACACACACACACACACATACACACACACAGCCCAATGAGCTCCCTTTGCCATAGCTTAGTATGCTCCTTCCCCTTTCCACAGCTGAGCATGCTCCTTTCCTACACAACACTAGGCCCATGTAGTAAAGGCAGTCAATAATCAGCCTGCAGCCTCCTTGTCCTTGAGATGGCAGCTACCACCATATAAGGCAACAAGAGCCCCTTAGAGTGACTTTCAGGTCTCAGCAGCTAGAGGGCCATTTATCTACTATTTGGGCAGCAGCCATAAGTACTAGTAGCAGCCATAAGTACTAGTCCACCATGATGAAACCCCCGGCCCACATGTCCACACCAGAGTCTCCACCTCCTAGCCCCTCCTAAACCTCCTAGGTTATATAAGTCACCTCAGACACGAGCTGGTGCTTCTTCTCACTTCTCCTTGGTGAGAAAGGGTCTTCCTGGCTCCTTTCCCGGCAATAAACCTTTCTTTGTTCTCTGTACCTGGATGTCTGCATGGTTTTCTGGCAAAGTCTAAATACACACACAAAGTATGGTAGAGGATAAAAGCACCCATCCCAGAAGACCACACAGACATAATCACGTACATATAGGAAAAGGAGTTTATTGTCAACGGAGGCTGACAAGGCCACCTCCCCAACAAGAGAGGGAGAAATGGCTTCTTTTTCCCAGGGGCATCGTTGTTTTGTTTTGTTTTTTTGCTTTTTGTTTTTGGTCAGTCATTCAGCTTGCGCTCTGGGTCTGGGCCCTGTCCCTCAGCTCTTCAGCTCAAGGCGAGCACTCTACCATTTGAGCCACAGCGCTCCTTCGGTGTTCGGGTGGTTCATTGGAGATAAGAGGATCACAGACTTTCTTGCCTGGACTGGCCTTGAACCACGGTCCTCAGATCTCAGCTTTCTGAGTAGCTAGGTTGACAGGCGTGAACTACAAGCACCTGCTTTCCAAGGGCATTTTTATACCATCGGGACTAGAGTAGGAGGTTCTCTGCATACACAGCTGGTCACTAGAAACATCAGGTAGGTAGGGCAGAGTTTAGGTGTGGGCTGAGAGCAGGAATGGGGACCAATCCTGCTCTCCAAGAGTTCTTTTTTCTTTGTTGGAGTTTGGGTCTGGGTGGAGGGTGTTCTGCTAATGCAGCTGGGGGTAGAGATACGTATGGAAGGCCTGGCAAGGCCCAAATGCAAGAGGAGACATACCAACAGAGAAAGAGCACATGCTATAGATTTACCATGGAAGAGACACTTTAGCCTACCCCTGCCATCTTGGGCCATTCTCACCTGTCTTCCTCATTTCAGAGCCTGGCCTCGTGTTAACCAGTGAGAATTGGATGGCTTGCTGATTGGTGAGTCTCCTTTCTGTTGTGATGCCAAAGAGTTAGAACCGTTATTTCCTCATTCTTTTATAGCAGGGGCCCCATTCAGTTGTCAGGTGGGTTTTGGTTTCTCAGCTCATCCTGCCATCTACAGGTTTTAGAGACCACAATTTTTTGATTGGCTGATTTCCTCCTAAGTTAGATCATCAGATGATATAGGCAGGCTTTGGCTTTCAGTCTCTAGCCTCTGGCCAGGCCGTGGCTCTTCAACTGAGAGCATGCTTCACATTTTCCAGCTTGACCTTTTGTATTGTCTCCTTCATGTGTTATTTATGATCCTGTTTGACATGGCTTTTATATGGTTATTTAAGTGGTACTTTTCCTGCCACTAAAGAGGAAACCGGAACTTTAATGGAAAACCACACATCTCTAATTGTCCCTTTCTGATTCAGAGAGAGATATTTGCACAATTCTATAGGTGCTAAGTAAGTGCCAGAAACTCAACATAATGCCCTATACATATGCAAATTATGTCCTATAGAAAGTTAATTGACCTCCCACCTCTACTCAGGAAGAACCCTCTATTTCCATATTCATTTCCATTTCCAATTCATTTAAATTCCACATTTTACATTTCACCTCCATTTCCACAAATTCATTACAATGCTCCTGACCTGTGTAGAAAACTGATAATGGGGTTGTGGCTCAAGTGATAGAGTATCAACCTTGAGCCTAAAAAAAGCACTAGGCCCAGAATTCCAGCCTTAGTACTGCACCAAAAACAAAACAAAACAATTTGATTCTCAAAAACTTGGAGCTGGGCACCAGTGGCTCACACCTGTCATCCTAGCTGCTCAGGAGGCTGAGATCTGAGGATCGAGGTTCAAAGCCAGCCAGGGCAGGAGAGTCTGTGATCTTCTTATCTCTGCAAATGGTGCTGTGGCTCTAGTGGTAGAGCACTAGCCTTGAGCTGAAGAGCTGAGGGACAGCGCCCAGGCCCAGAGTTCAAGCCCTATGACTGACAAAAAAAGAAAAAAAAGAAGGGCAGGGGCATACTCTTCAGTGTGTGGGTGATTTCCTAGGGAGATAGAGAGACACCCAGCGCTTTGGCCAGGGCTATTTATAGGATAAAAGTAGGGGGTTTAGCCCCAAAGTTTAGCAAACATGACTAATTTTGTCTTCGTTCTGATCTTACCTGGTGTTACT